TGCCGCGAGTGTGAAAGTCTCTAAAGTCTCTCTCCGATTGTTTTATTCATATTTATTATTCTTATTTTATTCGGAAAGAATCAATTATTGATATTCTATGGCATCATTCCACCCCCGCTTACGGGCGTATGAGATATAATATGGCCAACGAGGTACGTAAGGCCTGCACGTATCCGGCCAACGCGAGTTCTCGTGGAATAATTGTCGATTATTGTGTGTTCAGTTCAATGCAACATCAAATGAATTTTTCTATCAATTGATAGCATCATTATTGTCACGGCTTCCTTCTGCAATAATATCTGTACCTTCTTTATCTTAGGTACCAGCTTAGAGAGTTTAAAAAAAAAAAAAAAAAAAAGTGACTGAGAGGGCACGCTACAGGAGTCCTCTAACAGAACAATCGTAGGCGAAGTAGTTGAAAATGAATAAGACGAGACCGAAGATGTTTATCATTGTATTGAACCATTTTATCGATTAGAAACAAAAATAATCTATAATATTTCAGCACTATGAAGGGGGAGGGAGGCAGGGAGGCAGGGAGGGTCAAAGTTATTTAATATTTAATGAGAGCTTAGTTAGCATTTTTAATATGGGACCATTAATTGACTTTAGATTCAATCGGAGAAACTATAATAATTTGTCTCAGTTTGCTGTCATTTTCTTACAATTAAAATATAATGGCACCTAAATGTTGTCAATGGTAGAATTATATATAGAACAAAATGAAAGAACAGACGATGTTTTTGTAAGTAAGAGACTCAAGAGAACAGACCTGTCGAAGAATCAGTAAGCATGGACAGAACAGCAAATGGAAGCTGCTTCAGTTTGATAAATCCAGAAACACTAAAAATTGGGCAAACGGTTGCTCTGAGCCTGATACTTGTTGTTTCGTTGGTTGGGAATTCTCTCATCGTATTAATTGTTTACAAAACACCAACTTTGAGAAAACCGATAAATATGTTGATCGCAAATATGGCCATGTCTGACCTGCTCTATCCAATATTCTTTGTTCCTGCTCGTCTGGCAGAATGGCACGCTGGCTCGTGGCTTATTGGTGGTACCCTTGGTCAGGCCTTGTGCAAGATACACATTTTTCTTGTTGATGTTTCCTCGTTAGTGTCGATTCAGAGCCTTGTTCTGATAACAGTGGATCGATTTGTAGCTGTTGTAGTTCCACCCGTTCCCTCTCGTAAGTAGAAAGCGGTGTCTATTCTTCATTGTCGCTACATGGATCGTCGCAATGGCCGTTCATTCGCCATATCTTGTTGCTTATAAACTTGGTAAATACCCAGAACGACTGATGTGCAAAGGTCTGTGGCAGGAAGCCTTCGGAGGAAACACATATCCAAATTACATCTTAGCAGTTGCTATCGTGTTTTTCTACATTCCCTTTGTCCTCTTGGTGATACTGTACTCCGACATCCTGATCAAGCTTAAAACCAAGTCCATCCAGGTGAGCAGTCAGCCAACGCTGAGCAACAGAGGACAAGAAGAAACAGAAACGTGCTTAAGATGGCTATTACTATCGTGGTAGTGTTTTTCATTTGCTGGATACCCTTAATCAGTAACGCGATAATAGACAAGAATTTCAGTGCACCAGACAGTCTCATTTTTTCTTCTTGTAGTTTTCATATATACCGTACTGTCACCTTCTTTATGGCGTTCGCAAACTGTGCTATTAACCCGATTATCTGCCTCATTCTAAACAGTAACTACCGCCAAGCTCTTAAGAGACTTGTGAGTTGCTGTGCCGCCGATGCAGTGGAATATTAACGTTTGAAGACTGACAGCCGGGTCTGAAGAGATTCATTAAAAAAAGAAGACCAATAACAACTAATATGTTATGTAAAATAACAGCGAAATCACGAAAGAAATGCTTGTGAATTATGTTTTCGGCTGCAAAGTAATCTGGAGCACGCCCTAACCCTAACTCTAGGAAGGGTGGAAAATGTTATTGTATGAACGCATTTTCAAAGTATAATTTTGCCGAAAAACGCCGATCGAAGCCAGTAGAGCCGTTTTATTATTCTGTTCACTGAAACAGCTTCTGGATGGTTTGCTGCAGAACCGGCAAGACATCCAAAGAAAACGGTATGATATTAGCAGATCGACATGCAAACTCTGAAACCTAAGTAAAGGAGCGCAGGCAGACTTATTTCTACCACGAAGCAAGACGAGGGACTTGAGCATAGGTGAAAGAAGAGGCCAGTTAGCCACGGTCGTCCTACATTGTAAAGACAACTGATGTGTCTGAACTAAAGTGCCTTAGAGTATACTCAGCTGAAGCGTTTAGAAAAAAAATCAAGAGTTACCGCTGGAAGTTAGTTGATAACAACAAAGAAAGTCTTTCAACACAGACAGGCATACTAAAGTGTTCAGCCTACCCTTAGTTGTCATCACCAGAATCACCCCGAGCACCTGTCCAGTCACGTGCACCGGTGCCATGTTACAAATATGGCGTGAACAAACATTTTTCTTTCTTTTTGCGAATAATAACTAGGGAATGTTGGAAAAATGGACTGCGTGACTGTCACGCTGTGAAAGTAAACTTTGTTCCTTTTGATCTCGTTACTTAGTGATAAATTGTAATGACGTGATGTAGGTTTAGGATTTTGAAACTATAATCATCTTTGTAGCATGGACATTAAATTGTGAAGTGATTCGAGTCTGTAGGTCGTTTTAACGTGAATATTTTCTGGAAAATCTCTTCTGTTAGAAGCAATCGGAAGATTCCTGACAGGGCAACTTGAAGGGAGAAAATTGTGTATACCCTGACGCCGAGTGAGAAATTAGTAGATTTTTCGCTGTTTGTGCGAGGAACAATTTAAAGACTTTTTCCTCTGTTTCAGCTGTAGCATTTTCTACGGAATGCTTCATTTCCCTCGTTTATATGTTGCCTATAGTCACCGACGAAGTCCGCCATGTTTTAATTTGTTATTGTGTAAAACTTGATGACATTAAGAAGTGCCGTCAGTATTCCGTTTTATTCCAAATATTCTGCTCAGCTGATCTGTATTTGGAATATCTGTTCCACTTAGTTTAGAACTGGAGTAACAGGTCAATCGAACGGATATTCCGGATCTTTCAATTGTATTCCTATTGAGCTCTAACCAAGTTAGAATCGCATCGTGCTTCGGTTATTTCTTAGAGCATTAGAGACGTGTGAAACGAGCTTTGTTGAAAGAGACGTGCCACCATAAATAATAATAGTCGGATAATAATTTTCCGCTTTTGTATAAATCGTATGAAAACTAGCTAGAGAGACGTGTATCTCGTTGTTTAACATTCTGACTTCAGCTGTCTTAGCGTTAGGCATTAAGCCATAATGACCTTACATCTTCTATTGCATGCTGATTCTGAGATGTGAAAGACGAATAAATTTCAAATTAATACAAAACGTCAAAGGTTTAGTGAACAAAATTCTATTTGTTTAGTCACTGGCATGAGCTTCGCTCTAGTATTTATGACCTGTGTGTGTACCTTATATCGCGGCAAATATGACCTCTTTGTCACGGTATTTTATTAATTTGACGTCTCCATTATTGCAAAAAGCCCAGTGAGGGCGAGTCGACGAGTCTTAGGGACCAGTCATAATTTAAGTTAAAGGGGGGGAGAAATTGTTTTTTATTCCAAATTTTTTCCAGACCCCCACTAATAGCACCCATGTTTTTTAGGTACCCCCCTTCAATCATGTTAAAAGATTTAAGGGCCCCCCTTTCTTATACATAATACCCAAATGGTAATAACAAATAACATTTTCTTTACTTTACCGTTCTTACTCACTGTCACTTCCGAATGTGCCAACTAACAACAGAGAAGCACTTCACACTAAACTGAGAAAGAGATTTCACCTAGAGCCTCTCAAACAGCTTATAGAGCAAGGATATATCAGTGATTGTGTTATAATTGAGATAAGACAAGCCATCGAAAGGTGAGAGGCCGACAGGACCGCTTCAAGGAAGAAAGAAGATAATCAGCCAAAGCTTACTGCTTTTTATATGAGCAGTACATGCTCTAATAGCAAAAAACTTGACGGTGACACAGACAGTGAGTCCACGTCAACCTCATTTACAAATATTGATTCGGATAGTGAGATTGCATAACATGACTTTATGCATGTAATCATTTGTTAAAATGCCGATGAGATTGTTTCAGTGTTACACAATAATGGATGTTGTGTTGGTGAACCTACTATTTGAGCATTAAATCTTTTTGTCAAAATGCTGATTAAATTGTTTTAGTATTACACAATATAGGTCTTCGTGTAAAACTGAATCAAAATCAGGTCCTTTAATACTCAAACATCATGCTGCTCAGTAGGGATGCTACTTAAATGAAACCTGAAGACCCCCCAAGGTCATCTTTTGGCATTTTAAGGCCCCCCATATTCCATCCAAAAAAAATTGAAGGCCCCCCAATTTCTCCTCCACCCCCCTCCAACTTAAATTATGACTGGTCCCTTAGAGCTCCTAGGGAATTAATTTCAAGGGCGAATTCTGCAGTTGTTGACTACATTTATTGAAATGGAAAAATAGCAGAAAACATAATGTAAGCCAAATCAATGCAGTATAAACAGTGTATACCTTCCTTTCTGTGATCTTGGATAATGTAAACCGAAAAGAAATAATATGCAAATATAAGAAAAGGAAAGTGTTCAAGAACGGGGCGAGAGAACCCCTGGGCTGCTACTCTAAAAGAACCAGTTCCACGACTTATTCGAACGCTTGTCTGTGATTGGGCAAAAAAATATTTTTTGTGCCCAATCAGAAGCCAAGCATGTATTGTGCTGCCTTCGTAACCTTCTTATACGAAAGAGTTCACCTGCAAACTCGACTGTTTCCTCTCCGCCCCTGAAAAAAATCAGTCTGGCTCGTGCGGGAGAGTTTCTTCGAGAAGAGGTTTCAGTGAATTCAAAATGAGCCCTTAAAGTCTACTCTACCAGTTTCATTCGATCTTCTTGTATCACTGAAGAGAAACATTTAACAACAAATTTACAAACTTTAAAGGTCGAAAAAATGTCTCCTGCACGCGCCTGCATGAGTATGCCGAGCAGACGTAAACAAACACGCAGACGATTTCGCATGAACAAGCCTAGAAGTACCCTGGTATTTACGAATTGACCTTCGAGCAGTCCACAGGCGGATTTCTTCAATTGTTACATTTTTCGTTTTATTTTGGTTTGGTAACATGCTAAATTATGGGGTAAGATTTCCGTATAACCCCATACACTTATTATGCATGCATGTTTCCACTCTATTCATTTTCATAATTATCAAGTAGTATGAAATTGCTACGTGCATGATAATTGTATGAGTTTACACTGAAATTTTACCAATTATGGCTTTTCAGTGGGGCCTATTTTTACTGAAAAAAATTCTCCAAGAAAGCGCTCCTGCAGGAGCCAAACATGCACGGCCAACAGTCGAGTTTGCAGGTGAACATTACAAGCCTCAGCGTTCCGGAAGTTAAAAAATGCGGCGCGCCTGGGGGGTGTACTTCGTCCGTCCCCCCATAAGTTCTCTAATGGTCCGTCCCTTAATTAAAATCGTGTTCAAACCACTGTGGAGGAAGTCTGTTTATAATTGTGTCGATAAATGCACTTCTGACTTTCATGAGGCTCGATTTTGAATGAATTATCAAAAATTTTGTTAAGCGAGAAGTCTACCTACGGTTCCTGGGAAAAGGAACTTTTATAGTGGCGCAACACAAATTTTCCGAAAGTCGAGGATGTGCTGACAAACCATTCACTATATCTATGCGACTAAAGGAGGGTATAAGGTATATAACACGTTTAGCATTTCGACCCATAGACGAGAAAAATAAATTAGACAGTTGCCCTATGTCCTTTCTGGTTTATCTAGGTAGAAGTCCTGGCATATAATTATGCCCGAGCGCTTCTAGGATATAAAACACGTTTAGCATTTCGACGCGAAAAAAAAAAAAAAACAATTGAAAGCTGTTCCATATCCTTTCTGGTTGATCCAGGTAGAGCTAGTCCTTGCATGTTATTCATGCCTGACCGTTTCCAGGATATATAACACGTTTAGCATTTCGACCTGTAGAACAAAAATTAGGCAGTATTCTACATCCTTTCTGGTTCATCCAGGTAGAAGTCCTTGCATTATATTATTATGCCTGATTGCTTCTAGGATATACAACATGTTAAGCATTTCTTATCACACTTTCATCCTCGTCGATAAAACACAAGTTATAGTCAAATTAAGAGGCCGCTTTGAATCGATACGATTTCATTTGCATTTCTCCAAATTGTAGAGGGGCTGAATATTAGTTTGAAGGGTGCTTTGAACTGTAGTACATGTTTAATCAACATAAACGAGAAGTGATCTAAAAGCTGAAGGAGAAGTTTGTATTTCTAAATTTTTCCTGACATCAAGTTAGTGGCCGACCATTTAGGGAGAAAAAAGGGGGGATTAAAAAAAGAATGCAGACTCTGTATGTCAGGGAAAAAGAAAAAAAATCTATCGTGGGGCAACATATTCTTACACAAAGCAATTTACCTATACCCTCTCTCCCCCATCCTTACCCCCAAACGCCTCAAAAGTCAGCTAACTGGCCACTTAGTCAGCACAAAACGAAAAACAAATAACGAGGACAAAAATTAAAAAGCGCCAAATTTTCAGGTCCGGAGTCGGTTTCTTTGAGGTTCGCACAGTTTCTAGTAGTTATATTTGAATGGATTACGCGAAAAGGGATTTTCTTGTCCTTTCAGGTATTGTATCATTTTTAGTGTGTTTACACTGCTTCAAAAATTGCTTATTTCAATATAGATATTTCTTATTTCTTGCTTACAAATATTTTCTATCGAACCGGCCAAGTTTATATTTAGCCAAATTCGAAAATAGTATAGAGAATGTTGCTGACTAACACTTGCCCATACAATGCACTCTCGCTTTATTAACTTGCTTTATTACATCAGTATAAAAACGTTCACCGGATTAATCGAAATTCGATATTTACTTTAGAACATAGAATGTTATGAAAACGGTTGCAGTTTTATGGAGTTTGTCTCATTTTCGTGATAGAGAATCGGAAAGGATATATTTTAGTAGACGTCAAATTCCAGAATATGTAAATACAAGAGGGCGGATCAGAATGATATGATATTGCTCTTATACTGAAGGCGAAAGGGGGTATAATATGTGGTGCGCACTTTCAAAAGTACATTCACTTATTATTCCGCACTTAAAGGGGTCATAAAAGTGTACAGTTTAATGGGTATTAAAGTGTTCACTTCAAGAGTCCTAAAGTGAACACTTTAAAGGAGTCTTAAAGGGAACACTTTATGGGGTCTTACAGTGTTCACTTTAAGAAGTCCTAAAGTGAACACTTTAAAGGAGTCTTAAAGGGAACACTTTAAGGATTAAGTTATAGCAAACATTATGATGAGAAGATGGAATCATAATGTCATTTTATTTCGAGGCATTTCCCGTTTCTTATCAGCAGTGTGCAGGCGGTGTTTCCCTGGCCAATCAGGAGATCGAACATGTTTAGTGCTGTATAAAAGACTTGTTATGTGTTTCGCGCGGCCCTTCCAACTATTACTATCAGCTTGTACTAGTGACATCCCTTTGACGCTTAGTTGAAAATTTTTCCCACCACCTCCCCAGTCTCCGACCTGCCACCGTCTACATCCTCTTATAGTTTTATCGTCTTTAGTTTGTCGCAAGTATTTGCTAATTTGTGGCGGATTTTTGTCCCCACCTTTCCTGAAGAGATGTTAATTAGTTAGTTTTATCATTGGTTTCAATTAAAAACGTCACGCTTGTGGCCATTTATCCAAAACAGCTGAGATTCTTGCTCAATACGTGTATGCAAAGCTGATGGGTATTAAAATCATGTCAGCTTAAAGACGACTTCCATATTTGCGAAGCATTGTTGAAAAGGAGCTTTCTTTGGAAGTATGTTACTGAGCTTTACTTTAAGTATGCAAACGCAGACGTATTATTGGTCGTTAGGTTAAAGCCTTATACACACCTATAGAGAAACGTTCAACATGAACACAACAGCAGGTGTATCAAGTTCCCAAAGCTTCCCCAGTCTGATAAACCCGGTAGCAGAAAAACTTGAGAAAACAGTTGCTTACACTCCGATCGCTGTTCTTGCTTTGGCGGGAAATTCTCTCATCGGAATAATTGTCTGCAAAACTCCAACTTTAAGAAAACCAATTAACCCATTGATCGTGAACATGGCCATGTCAGACTTGTTTTATCCAATATTCCTGCTTCCTGTTCGACTGGCGGAATTGCACGTTGGCTCGTGCCTTATTGGTGGTGCCCTTGGTCAGGCCTTGGGCAAGCTACACGTTTTCCTTGTAGATGTCTCATCGTTAGTATCGATTCAGAGCCTGATTCTGATAACAGTGGATGGATTCTGAGCTGTTGTAGTTCCACTCCCTTCCTCCCTCATCAGTCTCAAGCGTTGTAAGTTATCCATTTCTGTCACGTGGATTGGCTATTGCGATGGAAGGGCCATATCTGTTTGCTTCAAGTCTTGTTGAAAACCCAGAAGGAATGATGTGCCAGCGTCAGTTGAAGGAGGCCTTCGGAGCGGAAAGCTCATATGCTATTTTCCTCATATCAGAGGCTATGGTGTTTGTTTACATCCCTGCCGTTCTTTTGGTTGCACTTTACTCCATCATCCTGATCAAACTTAAAAAGCAATCCCATCCAGGTGAACAGTCAGCCAACAACGGATAAGAAGAAACAGAAAAGTGCTTAAGATGGCCATAGCTATCGTTTTGGCGTTTTTTATTTACTGGATACCATTTTTAAGTAACCTGTTGATATTGTATTTCGCATCGATCGGACAGTCCCGTTTGGTCGTCCTGCAGTTTTACTCTATACAAAACTGTCACCTTCATGGCTTACGCAAACTGTGCTATCAACCCGATTATCTGCCTCATTTTTAGCAGTAACTATCGCTGTGGTCTTAAGAGATTTGTTACATGTCGGCGTACAAGGTTGACGTTTGAAAACTGATAGTTCTATAAAGCTATTCGTCAACGAAAACCGAATATCCAGAACTTCACCTGCAAAATATAACAAGTTCATATTTAGGGACAAGAAGAAATCCTTTAAAGGATCGTCTGAATTTATTCAGTGCTCCTTACTCTCGAAACGGTATAGCTGTACAAACGATGTCTGTGTTAAGCTCGTAACGAATTAAATTAGCATATGGTGAAGTTATATTCGACAAGCGGTTTAGTGATACTGTCCCTTGAGAGCCGCCTCCTGTTCCCTTGTGACACATGAGAAATATCATCATTAACAGAAGTAAACAACAATAGAGGTCCGAAATGGAACCTTGTAGGACACCACAATTAACTCATTTGGTAGACGAACAATGCCCATTGTATTAATGGATCATCGCAAATATACTGAAATTCTTGTCGAATATAACTTTACCCTATGCAAAGTCAATGTGCACTGTAATTTTCAGGGAGTTATAATAACTCCTCTAGTGGGGCTAATTTAACTCCTTACAGTGGAGTTATTTTTCGTGGAGTTATTTTAACTCCAAAAAGGAGTTTAAAGAACTCTTTTTCAGGAGTAAAAGTGACCCCAGATATTGAGGAGTTAAAATAACCCCAAAAAAGGAGTTATCCTGTACCTAAAATTTTTACTCCACTTTCAGAGTTAAGGAGTACAAGTAACCCCATTTCGGAGTAATGTTAACTCCAAGACTGGGAGTAAAAAGAACTCTTTTTCAGGAGTAAAAATGACCCCAAATTCGGAGTTAAATTAGGAGTTAAAATAACCCCAAAAAAGGGGTTATCCTGTACCTAAAATTTTTACTCCATTTTTGGAGTTATAATAACTCCCCAAAAATTACAGTGTGTTATGGCATCTTTCTTTCCTTGGAAGAAAGATGATCTGTAATGTATGTATTGCATCACATGACTTTTTTTTGGCTGTGGATGTTGCTTTCGTAATACACTGAATACACAGAAGAAATGAAAAAGAAAGAAGAAGAAATGAAGATGTGGATGCGTAAGCCAAAGAAGGCCTTAGATATTTACCGCCTTGCAATTTCCACCATTTTTATTTTCATCCCTACTGTCCAGCTGGTTGCACTTTACTCCATCATCATGATCAAGCTTAAAAAGCAAGTCCATCCAGGTGAACAGTCAGCCAACGCCGAGGAACAGAGCACAAGAAGAAACAGAAACGTGCTTAAGATGGCTATCGCTATTGTGTTGTTTTTGTTTTTTTTTTGTTTTTTTGCCGGACCCCCTACGTCATTAACGAGTTGATATCTCTTTGTTTGCTCACGGGTATTACATGTTCCTGTAGTTCAGATATATACACTTATCTCATCTCCATTTTTATCTCCGCATGTTGTGTGATCAACCCAATCACTTGCTCCTTTTTTAGCAGCAATCATCGCAGAGCTCTTAAGGGATTTCTGAATTAGTCTAGAACTGGGCAAGTTTAACTGCAGACAAGAGACGTATAACTGCGAGTGCTCCGGTTTTTTATTGCAATAAAAGCCTAAAAGCGAAGTGGCCGTCTGTATACAAAGGTCCCGTCCACACAAATCCGGATACTTTCGAAACCGCGTACTTTTTTTTCTACGAAACCAGTGAACCGCATATTTTGAAACCCCTCTACGGAGTAGATTTTTTTGGATTCGACGGGTTTGGTTATTTCGTGTGGACGACTGAAAATGGGTATTTTTGATGTCAACTACGTCATGAATGCGAGTGTAGTCTCAAATGAAAACTCTCGAATTCAAAATGGTGGACATTACAATGACTCTACAATGTTCTGTTTGCAACTTTGCTTGCTCTCATCGCCATTCTTATCGCATGCGTTGTGCTAATTTGACGACAACAATTAGCCATTTCAAAAGATCGAAGACTTAATCTCATTCTGATTATGAAATCTTTAAGTTCGAGACGAAGGTCGGAACCTTGTCAAAGTCGATTTTAGGTTCGTCTAACGCGAACAAGTGCCTGGTGAGACAACGTAGAGGCAGGACTGGCCATTGTGCTCGATAAAGTTACAACAACATTCAGAAATGTCTCGAAATCACATCGCAGGCTCTGTTTGTACATGCTTACTAACTAGTAATTAGAAAATGAATGTAAATCGCCAGTAGCGTATTTGTGTGGATAGGTGAATCCAAACGGCGGATACGCCACACTGAAGTCGTGTAGACGCAGTTATCAAAAATGTGAGTCCAGCATACATGGATTCGTGTGGACGTGGCCTCATAGTAGCTGTAATAAACTTTAAGCTATTGCAATACTCGATCGACTTTAGGAGCCCTCCATAGGAGGGAGGAGTAAGGTGATATTATAGAAATATCCTTTCACAGGATTTATTTTAAATGACATTCCCATTGAGCTAACAGACTTAGGTCAAACTAATGAGTTTTCTTTGACATCGAAAATGCATGGATCGATTTACGTCCACGCTACCGTTTTGACGAGTTTTCGAATATCCACACTTAACGTTTTAAAACGATAGAATTGCATGTTGTGACGTAAGATAGATAGATAGATAGATAGGTAGATAGATAGTTTATTCTGATTAAAATCGCAGCCAAAAGCTGAATTAGATTAATCGTTACAATAATAAAATCTAATAAAAATATGCGAAAAATATAAGAAAAATGTACACATATGTAGCGAAAAATTTAATTACAGTTGCTATCTATAAATGTGTTCTTAAGTCTCTTCGTCTTAGCCAGAGGGACTCTATGCGCATGCTACAAGAGCGTGCGATATTTTGCAACCTACTTAGTACATACGACGTCATCGTTTTCATTTTGATGCATTTTTTACCGTTTTGATAGTCTCTATGATACGATATGTTAGGCATTCCTTTGATCCATTCGAGAAAGTTGTTAAGTCGATAATATAACTTCTCGATGAAAAGGCCCAGCGTAAGTTAGTGGACGGAAGGCCTAAACACATCGAAATATGTGTGAACGGGGCCCTCTATTTACAGCCAAAAAAAGAGGACAGAAAGAAAGAAAAGAAAAAAAAAATAGAACATGTAAATCGAGTTCGACCACAGTAGTTGGCCTGGAAATGAACTATTTCCAACCACATTTATTGTTTTAGGTTTGAAATTGTGAAATACAGAAATGAATTTATAATGAGTACATAGCGAAGCAAATGAGGAATCCTGACTATCACCCTCATTATAATAATTTAAAGAAACGTAACTCCTAGTGTGACTATAAAAAACGTTTTTAAATTTGCATTGAGCAATTGTTGGAAGGTTGTTTCCTTTGGATATGAAGACGTGGCTTCCTTTATCTTGAGTTGAAAACTTGTGGAACAAATGAAAAGTAAATTGTAACCGTTTCAAACGACAGGGATTCAAAAACTCTTTGTAAAGGACAAAATTCATATTTCTACGCGCGTAGCAGTTCATTGATGTGTATTCTATCTCAGTACTGAATCAACAATATTTTAGTATCAAACACATACGATATATATATCTTCCGATCGGTAATGCTAGTCATTTTACTTCATCTTCGACAATAACTAAGCAATTTTGTATATGTCAAAAGCATAGTAAGTTATACTGCTTGCTGCTCACGTAAAAATAAAACTTCAAGACAATACTCCTAGTTAATGGCTTTTACCAATTGTAAAGTCCACGCGACTGTCACAGGACTAATCTTCCCGAAATTAAAGATAAATGGGAAGTTAATGAAGATTCCATAAATGTCCGATCAATGCATGGGCTTTTAAGGTTCTAGAACACTCTTAAGGAAGAAAGAGTTAGTTAGTTAGTTAGTTAGAGAGAAGACAAACGGAGTTAGCAAGAAGGAGTTAGCAACTGGAAAGAAAGATGTGGAGATTGTTGAAGGAAAAGTTAGAGATAGAAAGAGAGAGAGTTAACTAAAGCAGCAGCGAAGGCTTAACCTTAAAGATAAGTGAAATGGAAGAGAAGTAAGAATGGACAACCGCCCTGCGAGTAAGTAAAATAAACCTTGAAAATAAAATTGGTTGATTGTGAAGTTCGTCTCGTCTCGCTGTCCCCATCAATAAACGACACACAAAGATCGTGTATCACGACTAACGAAAACGCGAAAGACTTCTTCGTAAATGCTAAAAGCCGTGCCAGACCAGAAAGAATCTCTACTCGCAGGATATTTTAAACCCAAAATTTCCCACGAAAAAATAAGCGCATTGTAGCCCTTATTTTATTGTCTTACAAATTTTCAATAAGGTCGTATAAAACAACGGTGTGCGAGAATATCATCTTTTAAAAAATCCATTAAGCAGTTTCAAAATTATTTGCTCAATTTTTGGTTAATGTATGAGCCAAAATATAAACTTAAATGCGAACAACAGCATCTCACTAATGCTAATGAAATCCCTCTTTTTGAGATCGTTTAAAACTATCCCTTTGA